GTATGTATGTATATATAGATATATATATATATTTATTTATTTGTACACATCTGCGCACGTACGCACATGTTAGTATGAACTCTTATGTGTGCATGCATGTATGTATGTATGCATGCATGCATGTATGTATATGTATATGTATATGTATGTACATATGTACGTATGTACGTATAGGCCGGTAGAGGGATAGATAGACAGATGACCAACATGAAAGACGCAGTCTCGGGAGGATCTGCACACGACCCATCGCAGAACTTCCGTAAGAGCATATGTAGACAGAGAGGAAATAGATGGGAAAGCCATACCTGTATGTTCTTAGGCTTTTGCTTCAGTGCTTCATGCATGCGTACAAGTAGATTAGCACTCGTGCTCGACAGGGTCGGGCGAGGTTGGCGACGACAACAAAGAACGTCCAAGGTGTGCAGATAGATAGATAGATAGATGGATAGATAGATGGATAGATAGATAGGTCGATAGGAAGATAGAAAGCCAGAAAGAACGAAACACAAAAATAATAGAAAGATAGGTAGATAGAAAGATAGAAATAAATAAATATAGATAGATAGGTAGATACATAGATAAAGCTAGATATAGATATAGATAGGTAGATAGATAGACAGATAGATAGATCGATCGATAGATAGACAGATAGACGGATAGACAGACAGACAGATAGACAGATAAATAGATGGATAGATAGACAGGTACAGTAGGTAGACAGACAGATAGATAGAAGTGTGATCATAGACGCGTGATGAGCGGTCAGACCACGGTCTCAGCAAGCGATCGGTGTTTCTCAAGGGCTTCGTGCAAACACTTGTGCAACTGTGCTCGTGTTGTGGGCAAGCTGCTGCAGCCCTTTTTCGGGCCGCACTCCGCGCAGATCTGATGGGGAGATTTTGCCAGAAGATGACCCTGCTGAGCCCCGTGCAGGTTGCAAGCGTACTGGAAGCCAAATTGTTATGCTATTCTACCAATGCAGCAACGCTACCATTTCACTATAACAATATATTCTACCATACCGAATCACTCGAGTCTTACTAGAGTACTATCGAAATATTGGATCGACTCCACTTCCGTCGTCACTCTTTGGAACGGCCAGGCTCAAAAGCCCGGTCACTCAAATTCGGCCCGTGGAGGGCGTAGGATTTATAGGCATAATTTATAGGGTTTGCAGGTTGTAAGCCTCAAACTTTCGTAGGGTTCAGGATTCAGCAAAAACGGTTCCCAGAAGTGCTAGTACCCTTGGAGATTTCAGGTTTCCCAGGATCCACTCCAATGGAAGCTACTTCGGGGCACATCAAGGCCACGTCCGGGCTCTTCATGACTTCAAACAGAGAGTGGCAAGGAACTTCCATGGAGGGATCCCGCCGCTGTCTGAGGACGACCCCCTGCCACCCGAAGATTAAGCTGCCAGATGCTTCGCGCAATTCTGAACAATTCCCAAATCCGAAGCCAGCCATGGAAGGCAGGGGGAGGCCTGTTGTAAGTGAGCTTGCAGACTACAAAGGATTTTGGAACAAAGGCGAAAAATGTGATTGTACTTAAAACTGCTCTCCCAGACACAAGCCGCTGAGGGTGCCAATGGTAAAGCCTTGGGATCAAGGGGTTTCCGATGCTCATGTCGCTATAGCCTACAGCCGCTGGGATAAAGTATGAGATTGATTACCCTGCAACTTGTCCACCTCGCACTTGGCTATCTCTGTGGTAGCTCCTGGATTGGTTGAACAAGGCCAACCTCGAAGGTAATGGTCAGGACTGTCTCAACGGCCACAATGGTTAATTTTGTGCTCCGGCTGCGTGCTTGCTGATGAAAGGACTCCCAGTAGTTGTTGCTCATTTTAAAGTGGTCGGCAAGCTTCTAAAACCAGCTGGTCACGCAGTGCGCATGCCGAGCATTTTTTTGGTCTCTCGCTTCATCGGCCAGGGTCTCCTGCAAGCTGCTGGGTTCACGAAATCATGAGGCCCCAAAAGCGGCTGAGTGCATAAGTTCTAGCAATCCAGACCTGACCCGGCCTGAAGGTTCGAGCGCCAAGACCTCCAACCGCATGCCAGTCCTGTGGCGATGTGCGAGTATAGTAACGGAAAGAACGTTTGTTCCAATCTGCAACTTGAGAATGACCGGAGAGAGAAGCCCCGCAAAGGGAATTGATGTTCGACCACCCTGAGTGCCCTCTACAAGCCCTTTTCTGCTCCTAGACTCAAGTCTAGCCAGACTACGACCTGCTATCATCTTCAGAGAAGCCCTGCGTACTTTACGATAAATTCTGGCCGCACTCAGATGAAAAAGCAGAAGGTCGTCACATCATTAGCACTCGGGGTACGATTGCTCAAGTGGTCCTCAAGCATGATGGTACTTTGAAAGAGGCATGGCTTGTAGCCATGCTTCAGAAAGAGCTACGGACGCATCCGAGGAACTCACCTGCGCTGATGGTCCTACTGTATTCAAGCCTGGTGAAGCATCGCAATCATGCGCGCAATCGCATGCTGTGCGCATCTGCATGACAAGCATCAGCAGAGCGATCTGCCATAGTCAGAGAGTGTGAGGACGTCAATGCCAACCGCTGCTGCCCTTGGCAAGGACAGGACTTCATTGTCGGAATGCTTGGCCCAACTCTCCATGGGTTCAAGCCGTAGCAGGTAGCAGCAGCGGACCAATGAAACCCTGCAGCCTAGAACGATATTCGTTCTGGATGGCACATGTATCGAGAGGAATCACCTCACAGGGGAACGTGTGGGCATCTTTGCAACGAGGTAGATAGTTCCGTAGAAGACTTCGAGACAAAGCCGAAGCGACATGGCTAACTTGCGGCCACGCAATGAAACCAAGAGGCCTAGCACAGCGAATATCAAAGCCATCAGGACCTGCAGTCCACAAAGCCCGGGCGCACAAAGATTCATTGCAGCACGATGTCGAGCCTATAAGCCTAATTTACATAAGGCCGTCTAACTGGCTGTCATGGTGCAGGACGGATGCTGATGCTGCATTCACGACTTGGCTTTTTGATGACGGACTACGACACTCACCGTGCTTTGCTTTTGCTAGATCCACTCCATGCGGTTCTGAGCCGACTTTACAGCCACTGTTCGTTCAAGACCCAAGACTATCTCTATGCAAGTCGAGAGCAGTGACACTTGCCCTTCTGCATCTTGCCGAGACGCGAAGAAGCCGATAAGAAGCCTTGGCTGTCAGAAGTTCTCATTGTCTTCGTTTGCCGACCGGGCCCGACCTACCCCTAGGGCTCCAGTTACCTAAATAGTGGGGTACTAACCATATATTATGTACCCCAGTAACCTACTAGTTAGGTAGCTGGAGCCCTAGGGTACACCTTTGTCGTGAAACTACCTGACGCACCGCCTTCAGATGGCCTCCCCGCCCTCACCCCCGTGCGTCAAGCGGCTGCTCCAAACCTTTCTCCTCCATGCGCAGGCGGGGGTCGATGTCTGCGCCAATTTCCTTATTTCCGCTTACAAGTTCGTGCCCTTGAACTTGACACAGCAGTTAAGGACAGCTCACCAACGAGCCTCCAGTAGATCACTCTCAAGTCAGGAGTGCTTACTTTCATTCATGCTGAATCATGCCGCGACCACTGCAAACGGAATGGTGGCCTTGTGAATGCTATCGGTTCTGTATGAAGTACGTACTGTATGTACTTCGGAAGCATACGTTGAGCACAGGAGGTCTCGGAAACCCAAGCCACTGATGCCATGCCAGCGATGCAAGACCGTCCTAGCCACACCACTACGGTCGCGTGCAATTCTCGGCTGGGACAGGAAAATCGTGAAGTACAATGCCGGGATTCTAACCCGAAGGACTGTCATTGTTTTTGCCGGGGCACATTCCATCTTCCGGTCATGTTCCCGTGCCTGGCCGTTCAATGCAATCAACTGGGACGCCATTGAAAGAGCTGCACTGCACAGTCTCTGCAGCATGCGTGACAGAAGCTCTCTTGTGCAGGTTCCAGGTATGGCGGTGGTTAGCATCGGAGAACCGACACGAAGGGCACGCGACTGACCCGCTTAGTCCCCATACCGTCCTGTCGCCCAATGTCTCAGCTGAACCCGAAATCGTCAGTCCAAGATGCAACGGGTCGTAGTTCCACGGAAACCCATCGAAGCGGAATGCCGGTTCCGCCTGTGTTCTTTATTTGCGGGGTCCTTGTTTCGAACATATCGCTGCAAATCCTTTCGCACATAGCTTCGTGGGACGTTCAAGGCATTTTTTCTGGGGGCGGTTCCGTATCCTAGCTTTTCTCCAACTGCCCTGCATCATCCTTTGTCTGAAATGGTACGACAATCGGTAGTAGGGCTAAAAGCACCAGGCGAGGACTTAGCGGTCATTGACTGCATTGCTTTACCATTAGCTTATAAGCCTTTGTAGCCTTCGTGGAGGATGGGGTCTCGTCAAGACTTCCAGGGCCGCGGAAAGCTGCGAAATCCGGTGCGATTCATGCAACCGCTCCCATGTTGCATCGAGGTTTGCCAGGAAGCTAGAGCACACAGGAATCTACCAAACTTCCACTTGGTTACAAAACCGATCCCGAAAGCTACGCAGAAGAGGGTGCAGCTAGATGCCACATGGCCTCCAAGTTCCGCGGCACTGAATGCTCATACGATCCCCAAATTGTCCAGGGCACATGCGCCACTTCCAGCGGGGAAGCATGCCGCGGCCTCCAAAATAAGACAGCCAAAAAAGGATGGCAGACTGAGGCGACTGGGCAGCACTCTACGGAACACCATATATTAATATTAGACAGAACAGGAAGCACAAAACGGAAGCGGCTCCAGTAACTAGGCCCCGCGAAGAAACGCTTCAAGACACTCCCCTGCTGCACGACCTGAGACACAGTAAGCTGCACAGCATACCACTGCACATGCCTCTGATTTGCCACCGTGCTGTTAAATCAATCAGCCCTTAAGGCATGTAGGAAAGCACGGGTCAAGCTGTGGGGTGAGCTCATTAGCCACCCCTTAACAGCTAAATCAAAATCGCTACGCCGCTACACCTTCACGCTGGGCAGCAATTGCTTCCTTTCCTCTTCCTCCTGTTCGATCTGCTGGCGTGCTTTCCCGTAGAGGATGCCGCCCAAGATGGACAGGGAGGCACCGAGAATCTGGCCATGGGTCAGCACCTTTGTGTGCATGCCAAAGGCTTCGATACCAATAATCACGAACTTGTTGGCATTGACCATGACAAGGAAGCTGGTCGCACTGATCAGACTCTGGGCCCAGATTCCCGTGAAGCCGATGGACAGACCGATGACACAGCTTAAGCCGATGTAGACCTTGTCCAAGCCTGTGAGGTTGGCGTACGCATAAGGGAACTGGCCGACTTCTCCCGTGAAGTAGGCTGCCATGCCCACTGGGATCAGGCCCATCATGTTGTTGATGACAGTGATGCCTGTCTTGGAGATGTCCACAGGGTGCTGCTCCTTCGACAGCAGCAAGCGCTGCAGCAGCCGGTCGCACACTGCAACGATGCTGTTCAGCATCACCCAGCCGATGCCCTCCCAGTGCTCAGCATGGAGCTGAGAGACATACATGACCGCCCCGGCGACCATCACGACGATGGCGCAGACCATGGGCCCACTGATGCGCAGTGGCTCCGGGTAGAAGCGCTCGAAGATGAGGGAAAAGAGGGGCGATGCGCTCCGGAGGACGATAACCAGGGACATCGGTGCCTTCTTCAACGCAAGAATGGAAGTCATGAGCATGCCGGTGAAGAACGGGACCACCATGCACCAGCGTAGGAAGTCCTTCATGGAGCCAATGTGCAAGTAGGGGAAGCCAAAGATAAGCATGAAGAATGCTGCAAAGAAGAGCTGCAGCCACACCAAACTGCACTCCAAAGGCAGGGCCTGGACAGCCAGTTTGTTGAAGAGGATCATCCCCACCGAGGAGAAGCAGTTGCACGTGCATGCCACGAGGATCTCAAACTGCTGCGTGGGGAGGGATGCCATTGCTCGACGGGATGTCTTCGGTAGCGGATGGTAGTATGGGATGGCGTGATAAATCTTGAGCCAAAATGGCTTACAACTTCGGGGACTTGAAAACATGGGGTCGGCAGGCAATGAAAAGCCTGAACTTCCCGAGCCGCTGACTGTGGCAGGCTCCGCAAACTCAGAAGCCCGGGAAGCAACAAACCCCGATATTCTTAATGCCCCGCGCGCCGCTCGGTCAGAGATACATCGACCAGGCTCCAGTTGCCCACAAGCCTTGTGCATGGCATGGGCTTGAGGTTCTCTTGTCTCACAGGCAAGAACTCGGACAGAGGATCTGGAACGGAAAGCACCTAAAGCCCAAGACCGTCATCCACGAGCCAAGTAACGCGGAAAAAAGCGTCTCAAGATCATCAAGGTTTTGGAACCAGGAGCTTGTCCACAACCCCAGGAAAATGACGATGTTATGTTGAGGGAGCCGTTGGAAAGGATGGCCCTCTTTGGCACATGGAGTTTTTCAGGAGCTCAGTGCCAAGGTGCCCGAGAAGGCGACCCACTTCACCGGCAGCTCGATCTTGCAGCGCTTGCAGCAACGGGCTGTCCTGAGCAGACGACACTTTCCAGAAGACGTGGGACAACTGACCATTGCAAGTTATCGCTGTCTAGACTTAGACACACATAATTACCTACATACCTGCAAATCCTACAAACCTACAAGCCTGCATCGATCCATCCATCCATCCATCCATCCGTCCGTCCATCCATCCAAACGAACATTACATACGTACGTGCATAACCTACCTACCTACCTAACTAACATACATACATACATACATACATACATACACACATACACACATACACACATACACACATACACACATACACACATACACACATCCACACATACACACATACACACATACACACATACACACATACATACATACATACATACATACATACATACATACATGCATACATACATACATACGTACATACACGCATACACACCTACTTACCTACCATACATACATACATACATACATACATACATACATACATACATACATACATACATACACACATAAACACATAGATACATATACATATATATATATACATATATATATATATACGGTTGCACAGGGTTCTGTAAGGGCCTTATAGGATCAGCGGACTTAGCAATTCGGGCTACAAGCAGGGTAGCTGCACCGACAATGAGTTCTAGCCCTGACCAAAATGCACCATAGATCCATGCTCATATCTCGCCTATGATGCCCTGAATGACCGTTTTCCGTGTATATATTCATGTGATGCTTCGGGCTACCGAACCTTCAAGCGCAAGTCAGCCTTCAACTTGAGAGAAGCCGGTCGGCAGTTTCAAAAGTCTACGAACTGAACCCAGGATTCTGGTAACCGCACTGCTGCCGAAAGATCGAGTGTTTGAGGGCTGGGGCACATGACCCCAGGGACTTCCATTACGAATATGTCAGGCATCTATTTCATGAGGCTTTCGGGCTTAAGATTGTCAGCCTTTTCTTCGAGGTACAGAGCCGAAACCCTAAACCCAAGGTTCGGGTTCCGAGCCTTGAAACTCCTCGCGCCCGACCTCGCCCAGCCCTTCCTCTGAGGGCGTGGAGCTCGTGCTCCTAAACCCTCCCTGTTGGGGTTTAGGGTTCAGGGTGTTTAAGGTTCGGGTTTTAGGGTTTAGGGTGGAAACCCCCAAAAAAACCCTAAACCCTCAAAACACTTGCCCAACAGGTTCCTAAACTACCGGCTTTCGGGTGTGGGTTCGGACCCTCCAAGCAAAGACTGGCCTTGGCAATTTCAGGACGGTCTGGCAAGACCTGCTCTCAACACACAGGGTTTAGGGTTGAGGGTCTATATAGGGTTTAGGGTTTATAGGTTTATATAGGGCTTAGGGTTTATATAGGGTTTAGGGTGTAGGGTCAGGGGCCCTTGATGCTTGTTAGAAGAGGGTGTTCGGGATTTTCGACTGACCACAAATCAGATGCTTCTTCTTCTTCGGCTCTGTGGGGGAAATCAGGAAGGTCCCTTCGGGTCGAGACCCGGAGACAGGTCTCTGAAATCCGATGGCAAAAGCACAGAGGCACTTGAAGATGCATCCACTTCCCTTACCCCAAACCCTAAACCTAGGCCCCTAAAGCCCCTAAGCCCTGTCCTAAACCGTCTTAGGTTTCGAGGAGTCCGGGCGTTTGAGCAGGCGAACGGCGGCTCGGAGAAGCTTTGGAGATCGTGGGTTTTGTCGCTGGGCTCCAAAAGCATTGTTTATTCCTGTTACTATGATTGTCTTTAATGACAGTGGCATTATTTTCTTGTTTGGTATTGTTGTACTTCTTCTTATTATTGTCCTCATCACTAGCATTATTCTTAATAAGTTATTAATAAGTTGTCTTGTTATTATGCTCTTCCTGAAGGCTCTCACGGCGACCGCTCTGTTGCCTTGAGGCTCAGGGAGGCCCAAGTCATTGGACGACTAGGGTTTAGGGTTCAGAGTTCAGATTTTAGGGTTCAGGGTTCAGGGATTTTTGAGGGAGAGGGTGGGATTAAGGGACCCTAAACCCAAGGAGAGGGGCGGTACAAAACAGTAGAGTTCTTATTTTGAGGAGCCCTGAACCCTATAAGCCCCATACACTTGATAGACCCTGTCAGCCAAAAACCCCAACTAGGTCCTTCTTATCGAAACAGTAGTAACTCCTATAGTACCCTATGGATCCCTGTATAGTAACGGCTAAAGGATCGCGAGTAACCCTAAACTTTCCTCAACCCTCTGGGTGCCTCGGATCGTCTCTGATAAGTCGGGGTGACGCAGCCTGCCAAGGAAGCGGAAAAAGGCTTGCGACGTCTATCGGTTGCCGTTAAAAGGGGTCTACAAAAGGGGTTGCCAGAGAGTCTCGGAGCTGCCACTTGTCGGGTTTAGGCTCTGCGGTTTTGGGGTTTAGGCTTTTTGGCATCGGATTTCGGGTTTGGGGTTTGGGGCCCCTTTTCAGCTGAAGATAACTGAAGCTTTAGAGCATCTATGTCACGACAGCGCCTTCAAGGAGACCCGGCACAGCGAAGCTCAGCAAATCAAGTCCCGACATAAGGCTGTTGGGGGTTTATGGGAAGTATACTAAACCGAACCCTAAAACCTAAACCCTAGACCCTTTTACTAAACCCCAAAGCAGCCCTAAACCCTGAACTCAAAACTCAGGAGCTTTCTAATACCTTTCGGATCCCGGGGGCGTGGAGTGAAGAAAGGAGCATCAAATGTTTAGACGTCTACAACAAAAGCAAACCCCAAACCCCTAGGCGCAAGAAAAAGCCTCAGCACAGGTTAGATCAGATTCTTCACATCTTTGTGTGCTCTTTGTATGTTACTTGCCTGGGCACCGCCTATCACCTTTATAGAACCCGTAGAAAACTGTCAGGAGGCGGCCTGTCACGATCGCGAGCTTTACATGCTCCCGTGACATCTTGGGCGGTCCTTGCACTAGAACCCGCGTAGTAGACCGTAGTGACTGTAGTGCATAGTGATGGCTTTTTGGGTTTCGTTCTTGAGGGTTGTAGGGCTTAAGCTCTAGCGGTTTTGGGTTCAGACATGCATGTGCCCATCGGCGTTGCAAGCTTTCCAAAGGGGAACGTGCTGGGATGTTATTGCTTTGCCAAGACTCACACCCTCTAAACAGGCATCCTTCTATCCTTTCCCACGCAAAGAACCTACATGAAGATACCGTAACCATCATTTCTTCCAGGCTGCTGTAGGGGTAGTCGCCGAAGATCAGCAAATACAGCCTGAGCATAGAGCCCTCGTACTCGACCGTAACTCCCGGAACCTCAAAACTGGATTAACCGCAAAAGTCGCATACATATGTACATGAAATATAGAAAAAAACAAAGTTGAAACCTAGGAAATTATTTATGTAACTTTGTATTTTTTTCTATATCTATCTGTCTATGTATCTATCTATATACCTATCTATCTATCTGTCTATCTATCTATCTATCTATCTATCTATATGTATATATGTATTTATATGTATACATATACTGTTTTTGCACATGAGTGTATGCAGTCTGTGATGTGGTTTTCTGTCATGATACTGATGTTCCAGGAATAGGGTTGTAAACATAAGAAAGCATCGAGCCACTCCAGCGACCGGAGCTCCAACTCTGCACTGTCGGCCCTAGGCCCTCGTCTGCTCATAGGAAATCCAGGCTACTAAAGGACTTCTTGTGCGGTTGTCTCGCCTTGCTAAGACTACTACTTCCTGCGACTGCTCCTGATACTTGCTGCCGCCGATGATGATGGTGATGGTGATGGTGATGATGGTAAGGAGTAGGAGGAGGAGCAGGGGGAGGAGGAGGAGCAGGAGGAGGAGAAGGTGGAGGCGGAGGGGGGCAGAGGGGGGATGGGGATGGTGATGGTGGTGGTGGTGGTGGTGGTGGTGATTCTCATGGTGATGCTGATGATGACGATGATGATGATGATCATGATGGGTTTGCCATCTTGAGCGAAATGTGCCTTCCTCAGTAGCGCAACCTCCAGAACCCTAAATCCGAAGTTCCTGAACCCGAAAAACCCTCTCTGAACCCTCAAACCACCAAAGAAACACACCAAAACCCTGAGCTCTCAGTCCGAAGCCCTGTGCTGACCCCCTTTCAGGGGTTTAGGGGTTTAGGGGTTTACGGGGTTTGGGGGTTTAGGGGTTTAGGGTTTTGGGGTTTAGGTTGTAGGGTTTAGGGTTCGGGGTTCTAAAGTCCCTAAACCAACCTCCCGAGCCCCCTCTGAAGGGGCCCCAAAGCTTTGGCCGAGGCGCGTCGCCCCTAGGGACCAAAGGTCTGTACCTTAGCTTTCTTGGCCGTCTTAGGGGCAGAGGGTGATTGGGGATTTTTAGGAGGTTTGGGGTTTTGGGGTTTGGGGCTTATGCAAGATGCCCCACGAACGATCCAGAAGCGCCATGACGTGAGGGTTTGGCGTCTGGGTTTAGGCTGCTGTGTGTGCACTTAAAGGCTCA